TGATGGAGAAGGGGATGATGGAGTGAAGACTCTGCCCTTCTATACTATCAGATAACAAGACCCACCAAGCTTAGCTTGGAAAGTTTTAATCAAGTGATAGGGTAAAAGTTCAGGAATGAGTTTGTGTGATGAAGAGTTGTTGATGTGGTTTTGGTTGGCGCTTTAAAGTGTTTGTGTAAGGTGGTCAAATATTGCTTGAGTGTTACTTGACTGAGGATTAAGCAACTGGGAGGAGAGCCTCATTATATATACAACAGTGAGGGAATTTAGCTCCAGGGCAGCCAATAATGAGTGATTTTGGCTGGCCTGGGCTATTACATGAGGTATTTTAAGCTACATACAAATTTTGAATGAGTGAATGTGATTGGTCAGACATGTACAAGAGTTGAAGTGGTGATCCAAGCAGCTGAATGAGTGATTCTGATTGGTCAGGTTCTGATGTGTTTACAAGTGAGTGTGGTGGTGTAAGCTGCAGCTGTCATGCATGGAAAATACACTAATTTAGGCTGCAGGTATGATGTAATATGTAGAAGTGAAATGTAAAGAGTGTAGATGTATGTAAATGAGTGTATATGTAAATGAGTGTGTACTGTACTGAGGGTGTCTGTGTAGCTTGAGGGTTGTAATTGGGTTTGGTGATATGTAATGATGGGTGAAATCCTTGTGATATGTTGTCCAGTGTTGGGTAAGAGTTGATCCAGGTGTGTTCCAGTGGCGCCTCCATGGTGACCAAGGGTGGATTTATCCGTAGAGTCCAGTTCTTGAGCCGTATGGTGTGAATTCTGAGAGTGATTGGGTGATAATATGAAGAAATATATATACAAGAAAAGAAAAGGAAAAAAACTTTGAATTTTCACATTTTTGACTACCACACCGCCACCATAGAGTCGGATGGAATAAGTTTGACGGCTATTTCATTGTTGGAGTAGAGATCGCGAAGCCACTTCATCTTGATATCCAAATGTTTTGTCTTTGAGTTTGATCCAAAGTTCTTGATTTTTTCTAGAAGACCCTGATTATCTATGTGAAACTGAGTGGGATCAAGTTTGTTGTTGTATGGTTCCTCTAAAAGAAATTTGATCCACTGATTTTCTTGAACTCCATCGGACAGCGCATTGAGTTCAGCTTCAGTAGATGACAGGGTGATGTTGTGTTGTTTTTTACTGTTCCAAGAGACAGGACATGCTTTCCAGAAGCAAATCTATCCACTTCTGGAGAGTCTGGATTCCAGGTCATCGGCCCACGTGGCATCAGTGAAGTGTTGGATTGCATTGGAGGAATCTTCAGGATCTGGTCGTAGACTGAGAGCGTGGTCTATGGTGCCGGCAAGATATTTCCAGCAATGTATTACTTGCCGCCAGTGTTGTATTCCTGGTGCATTGTTGAAACTGGACAGTATAGATACAGCTGGGGATAGATCAGGACGATTTCTGCATGCCAGA